AAGCACCGGCGGATGTTGGACAAGTCCGAAAAGTCCGTGTATCCGACCGCCGGATGCTGTCGCCGTCGCTGGCGTGCGTGCCGAGGTAACTAATTGCTCCCCTTCGTATTGATTTTACGCCCGTTGCCGGTATCTTGTGGAAACAAAAAAAAAATATATACATATATACACTATATTCCGCGCGGATATGTAACGACGGCCAAAAGTTGGCCAAACCGGTTTTTTATCCTCGTTAATCTACGTCGGTGATGGCGGCTGCATCGATCACTAAATTCACTTAACGTGTTTTCTTATAAGTCATTGCTTGCCCGGACACTTTCGCTAAAGCAGATTGGTGTTGTATCAAAGATTTACTACTTAATTTTTAATCTCATTCATATAATAAACATGTTTATGAACAACCACATACACACATATGTGCACACATCAAATTTTGTGCTCAGAAAAAATCAATGCAATCGAGAAATATATTATCGAACGCCATATTCAATGTATCGAGTATCAGAATTTGAGCAAAATTGTGATTGGTTGCTATACTGCGGAAATATCTCTCTTCTATATATATACTTATACCCCACATACATAGATGTGACAGATTGTACGCGGTAAAAAATCTGAAAGACACATCGATAGAATTTTCAATATCCTTTGTTTATCTGGAAATAGCGCGCGTATTACAAAATATATATATAATGTAATTTATGCTGATCAATGTTCACAAAATAATTTGTTAAATAAATAAATAATAAACAATTTGATATTTGACGCTTTCGCGGTGTGTTATATTAATATTCGAAGATGTTTTTCGGGTTTGAACCGCGCGTCATTTTTATATCTAATAAATAATTAAACAATTTGTGACGATAATATTATTAGTCTTGCGCGCAATCATCAATACTGTGATATTATTTTAGACACTCTGCATAATTTTTAATAAGATTGTGATCGTAAAATTGAATCTGTCTTTAATAATTAAATAAATAAACTTTTTAGATTCTTTTTAAAGAAATATATAGATGTGTCATAATATATAAACTTACGCGAGATATTGCGAATTCGATGATTAAGTAAATAATCAATCAGAAATTTATATTATACGATCGACTTCGAGTTTGTAACAAAGAAAAACTGGTACATATCACGCACGCGGAGTCAGGTTAATTTGAAAAATTTTCCCACAAATAACACCGTTTGGCCGTATTTGTCGACGACCTCGTTCAACTCGGTGCCAAAAGCGATCGTCCAACGAATTATCGGCTTCGGCATTTGCGGCTTGATTGCGGGGTAACCTCCTGTAGTGCTGCCAGGACGATTTGGGAAGAGAAAGAGAAAACGCGGGAGCGAGCGAGATCGGCCGATAGATACAGATTGACAGACAAGAGAACGAAGGCGGATGAAGAATCGAGAAACTGATAAATATGGTCGACTCGAGCGCGAACTCTTATCCTTCTATATATACGTGACGCTCTCTCGTTTCCCGCATCGTGCGCGAATATCTCTCCGATAATCAAGCTTCGCGAAGCATCTGGCCGCATTTCGGACTAATTAATGGAAAGACTGATTACATGGCTTTCGATCGGGGAATTGATCTTTAATGCTGATTTTACGCTGTCGTCGTGCTTATTTTCCTCACTGTCCGATTCGAATCGAACGGATTAAAAGTTATTTATGAAAAAAAACTCCTGATGAGATATTTTTATCGCCGCTATTTTTTGAACACTTGCTGTTAACATTTGTTTATAATTTATTAATTTTTTACACAAATTAAACCTATAGTAGATAAAACTTACGTTTAAAGAAAAACACAAAAAATTCTTTGTTCTCGAAAACTTGAAAATGAGAAACGATTTAATTGAACCGTTTTTGGTCATCAGACCAAGCGCGTGGCAACATATAAAATTTAATCAAGCTACAGTGATCACACCAGAAAGAGAGACAGAGAGTACTTGAGGGATTTCAAGTTTTCTCTGTGTGTGTGCGTTAATAAGATATTCGTAACAAAATAAAGAGTTTTTCTTTTGTTACATTCGTGTATTATTCAATCCGTTCTTTTGTTTATACTACGAGCTAAAATTAAAAGTCATAAGACATAAAAGTATTCTTGAGTGAGATACATCAGAGAAGGTTACGGTAATTTCGTGAGATTCATATACCGTGAAAATACCGCAATGTTCCTCTTAACGTAATGTAATTTATTTCGGGAGTGATCGCGTCAATTTTTCTCTCTCAAGAAACGCAATTTTAGAGACAAAACGCAATTTTCACGATCGCAATCTTAAATGAAAAGTGTGCAGAGCGTTTGAAAATAATATTACAATAATATTGATGATTACGCGCGAGACTAATATCATTGTCAGAAATTGTTGTGCGCTTCGTTAGTCGAAGGTGTCACGAGATATATATTTCCACGTTCGCGCGTGTTAATCGCGCACCTCCCATTGGCGACACAACGCAGAATTTACTAACGAGTTTGTGATGGAGAAATCAAATTGGATAGGCTAAATTTCGCTGTAAATGGCCGAAATTGTTTGCGAGTTGCGCGACGTTGCTGACAAATCGATGGAACTTCCGTACGAGCGACGGCGCGCATCATCAAACCACGGACTTTCTCCCCCGGAAATATCCAGATACCCTTTAACAACGCGCAGTTGCATAGTTGTCCGAGTAAAGTTTACGGCGAATCTCGGAGAGTCGATGTTCGGGACCGGAATTAACACGCTACCGTAAAGTTTCCACGTGGAATCCGATTACGATCGACTACGGTCAAGTCCTTGGCAAACGGATTTTCCGCGAAAATTTTCCAAAAAAAAAAAAAACGTTAAATCGATCGCTCGCAGAATCGGAGAATTTTTTTTGAAAGGAACGACGTAATACATTTACGTTTTTCGAAGTAAGAAGAATCAGATCGTCTAAAGCAACGCGTGTGCCGTGATTATTTATGATAAAATAATTTTATATCGCGATACACATAATGAAGCTGCGATATACGTGCAACGTTGATTTAATGCTAAAATAATGTACAAACTTACAAATGTAATAACAATGTTAAAACAAACAAGAACGACGACGTGCTGAACGCACAGAGAGAAAATGTTTGATTAACTGCAAACAATTAACTGAAATAATCGAAAATCTGACGTAAAAATGACATTGAGCGATATATTGCAAGTAAAAGTGAATAAACCCAAGTTTTGTTTTTATATACACAAGTATTGAATTTGCAAGTTAAATTTGTGAACAAATCCTATAAATTACATTCTAAATCCAAGTTTTATATCAACATCAGCAGAACAAGATCTTATCAATCTTCTCTATGTTGGACATTTTTATCAAAATGTATTTGTGCAGAATTTATTTTTCAGATTGATATCAATGTGTGTGTGTGTGTGTGTGTGTTTTGGTTTTTAAGACTCCAATCCATATAAACGAGAAAATCCTTGTAAAAATTCTTTCCTTCTTGGAGGGAAAAGATTTTTCGTCACAGTGACATTCTTGTGAGGATAAAAATTTTGGAAGAATTCTATCGAAAATCCTTCACAGAGATTGACAAAAGAGCTTACGCTCGGTATTTTTCTTCCTTCTAATGCTCAACAATGCCCGGTTGAGATGAACAACATAAAACGAACGAAATAAAAGTAACACATGTTAAGCTCAATAGCTTCGCTATCACATCAATGCGCCGTCGGGATGTGTGGTTTCCACGAAAGTTCGATGTACTTTCTAACAGTCCACGATTGCATAGTCGAACAGTCGAAGAGAAGTTTACGCTACGTTTGAGGCTAAATTGGATCACGAATTCTCGAAGTTCCCACCGGAAAATCCTGTGAGGATTTCCTATGAACCAACAGCGCAAACTGAACAAACTTGCGAACAAAAACAGAGTTTAGGTTCTGTAGTAATACTTTCTGATTATATATAGAAAAATTAAGTTGTCTGTCGGGGGAGAAAAAAAACCGAAGATTTGAATATTAAAGGAGTGGATAAGCATTTGACATCAAAATTTCAATTTTTATTTTGATTTTTTGTTCGCATTTTACACAATTCGCGATGTTTATTCAAAAACATAAAAAAAACAAAAAAACAACTCTCGATTCGGACGCATTTTATCTTTCAATATCATTAAATTTCATGCGCACACAAGAATGATTCGGCATAATAAAGTTATTTTCACGTATTCATTTCTTTCCGTAAATATTTGACTGTTTTATAATCAAATAAACGTGTCATCAGTCTCCAATAACGAAATTCTCACATCTGTTCTTTTAAACGCGCGATTATTTCAATTTCCTCACACACACACACACACGCACACACACTCTGGGCATTATTATGACGCATACTGCAACGCCGTCAAAGCAGAATGGCGCGCTGAGAATGCGGAAGCTCATAGTTAACCCGCTATTCATCCCCCCCCTCTAGTTCTCTCTAACTCACCCTGCAGAAGAATCTTCGAAATTGTTCGCGTGTCAAAGGCCGAAACTCTCCCTCTTGTGCTATCACTTGCTCGGTTCGTTCTTCTGTTCCGCAATTTAATGCCAAGTGTATATCTTTCTTTTCTTTGGTTTTGTTTTGTCACCCCCGTCCCGGAATTATCGAGCGAAACGTAAGCGCGCGCGCGCGTCACAAATTTTTGCGCTGAATGCATTGTGCGCTCTTCGAAGTTATTCTTTTCCCGAAAAAAGCCAACGAGTTTCTCCGAGGTGGATGGTCTTTTTCAACGAGTTGATTTACGACGCGATTTCGTAAGCGAAAACTGTCTTTTGCGATAGTACCAGAGAAAGAATAACCTTCTCCACCCCCGTGTTATGAAAATCATAATGCGCTTTGCGTATTACGTATGCGCTTTCGGTGTTTTGCGACATTTTATACCTCCGTGCAATTCTTAATTTTATTCTGACAACTTGTTTTCGCGAGCAAAAATATGGAGAAGAAAGAGACTTCACGAAACGCTTGTATAAATTTTTACAGTACGGTTCGTACTTCGTTTTATTCGCACTTACCGAATTGCCATGCTCTTTGCCTTTAGGTGATGCCATCTCTGATTCATTTCATCCAGTCGACGTTGCAGCATAACAGCATCATCCTGACTCGCCAGTGAGCTCAATAATTTTCGTCCGGTGCCGTTGAGAGATGCATAAACGTCTCGGTGCGTTTCGATTTCCGACTGAAGATCCTGCAACAAGCAGGAGTAAGCCTCGTTAGATCCTTAAGAACGAGTTTAAAGAATTTTTTTGTAGAGAACATCAACCAATGTATATTTTCTTTTTTTTTTTTTTTTTTCTAAGAATTGATACGACGACGTGTTTGTACCATGAGCGCAAGCATATATATTGCAACATTATTCTATTGTTAGCTACAAAATCCTCGTGAGATATATTTGAATTCAAATTTTCGAGCGCTTTTCTACAAAAGTAAGTAAAAAAAAAAAAAAAAAAAAAATACGGGATTTTCGATTTTAACGTAGCCGGTCTCTTTTCATGGAAATACGGGGCATTCGCGCGACAGAGAGAGAGAGAGAGAGAAAGGGAGAATGCATTCGCGGTGTTTCGTCATCACGATGACGTGAATTGCAGTCTGCGCGTGGATAGAAATGATTTATATACGAGTTTCCACGTACAACGGTGGTATACGAGTACGTCGGCGCCGACATGCAATGCATGCGCCAATGAAAATAAATCGGCGCCGATGCGAGTGAATTAAGAAATATTCGCTGCCGTCACGGCAAGCAGGAACAATAGGATTTGTTTTGTTCCATTTAACGTAGCTATGTGTACGCTTCGCATCTACAAATCCAGCGCGCGTTTCGTCATTAGTTTAAAAAGTTAATTGCAAAAGCTTCAATGAAACTTTCAAAGAAAATTCTGTGGATTTTTTTTTTTTTCGTGAAAATGAGAAACAAAATTTTCGAAAATATTAGTCCAGAAAAACGACAACAATCGTACAATTGATATTTGCTTATTTTTTAATGTAATTAAAATTCTTTGAAAATGAAATACAAATGAGAATAGTACTCCGGAGAAAGGAACACGCGACACAGAAGCAAGACTGCGAAATACACGTAAAATATCTTTCGTTTCCGCTCACGTCGTTGTCTTAATCTGAAATCGTCCGTCTGTCAACGACGGTCGTACACTCTTTTCAAATTCATCCAACTTCACCTCTCTCTCTTTCTCTTTCTCTTACCTAGCTTCAAAACCCTCTTCAATTTTTGACACGCGCGAATTGAAGGCTGCAATCTCTAGAACGATTGCAGCCGGGACTCGATTTCCCATCTGAGTCGACGATCGACGGGTCAGAAGTGCGATATTTTTCAGCTGCTGTTTCCGCGCGAATTGACGCTGGTGACACCCGGTGTGCATCGCGGAGACACGCGTAATGAAAAACGAAGAAAGGGGATGCGCGCGCGCAAAAAAACAAAAAAAAAAAAAATCGAGAAGAGAAAGAAAACTGACGAGGAGAAGGAAAAAAGGAGTAAATATATCGACAGTGGATGTGCCGCTGCGCCGGGAAACCCGCTCCGGAAAATTGGACACATCGATCAAACCGGCTTCCACTCGGCGACGGACAGACCTGCTTTACGTCCGTCGAGCGCTCGAATTGGTAACGTTTAATTGGCGCTCCTGGTGGCAGCTTACGCGCGCGAAAGCTAATTTCGTTTAAACCTCGACAAGAGCGCAAAGCCGTATCTCCGCTGTACATCTCGAGAGAGATCCGTAGATTATGAATTACTACGTCGTGTCTGCTAACTAAGAGAGAGTGACGGCAATAAATATTGCTTGAAAGTATTTTTCATGTACGCCAGTCACACATTGTTCAAACTCGCAATATCGAACAACGTGGCTCCGAAGACGAAAATACGTAAAAAAATGTACACACAAGCGGGATATAAATTAGCTTAGACTCCCCACACATTAATCTTAATACATAATGTATGCATCTGGAGTTGCACGGGGAGTACACAGTATTGGATATTACGACAGTAATTCATCATTTTTGCACACGCGACAGTGATAAAGAATGCAGACTGTTACTTATCAAGTCCCGAGAAGATATGTCTCTTTTTCAGGATTTTTTTTTTTTCACATCCTCTTTGTGTGACGTTGATTTCAAACGAGCTGCGCGTGTTAACGAACTAAAATAATCAAATGTTAGCTATATGGTTTCTATACTCTTTTATGCGATGCGATTTTACTTGGGACGATTGATGAATATCCGAAACGACGCGCGATATACAATAGTCGTATCGCATTGCTGCGTTGTCTTTGATAATATTGATAATAACATCAATCGCGTTTCGGAAGAACAAATGTCACAAACGCTGGCTCATTATTGCGCCTAGTGTGTTACAGCACGTACCGTGTTGTAGCATCGATGACTTCAGTTGCTCGAAAATTTCTCTCCACCGAGTTATTTTTTTTTTTGAAGTCGGAAATAAAAAGAAATCGGAACCACAATGTGACAAATAAAGCAGATGAAACCCAACTTGTAAATTTTGGCCATTGCAATTGTTGATGTAAGATTGAGATGTGAGCCGGTGACCATTGTCTTGAATCATTAAGCTCTCGTTTCGACCACTTATCAATCGCCCCATTCTCGTATTAAAGAAAAAATATTTGCTCAAGCTGCGAGAGTATTTTCAGAAGCGGATCAAGTTCGTCTCGGTTGTTGCTTAATGTCGTTGCGGTGTCTCGAGAACGCGTCGATGATGTCGATTAAATTTTTCGCGCTAATGGAGCTTCCTTAAGAAGTCGTGGCAGACTAAGTATTAAAATGTTGAGATATGCTCCGTGAGACGAGATGACTCGGGAAAAAAGTGCAAAAGGTACAAAACATTTTTGCATTACCCGTCGTAGCTTCAAAGTTCTTATCGCGGTTCGCCGTGCAATTACGCAAATGCGCCTTACCGGCGACGTCGATGTGCATGGTAGTCACTACACTCACACAAAGTATATATAAGGTGTCCTAAAGGGGGTTGTACTTTTAAGGATTTCCTGGCAAACTCAGGGTTTCGATTTTTTCTTATTAAAACTTCAATAAAGCCCGTTGATAAAAACTATTTAAGTTCGATATAAAAAATTTTATTTTAATACATTTTTAAGTTTTACATTCAAGTATTCAATTAAATTATATTTTTATAAAATAAAAACGTAATAATTATTTATAATATTAAAGATGTATAATTTATACGTGTGTATTTTTGTACGTTGTTAAAACTGGGCATCGCCGTTTCCGCCGAGCTGATTTCTACAAGTCGATTTCTGCATTGATTCGCTCATGTGTCGCGCATTTTGTCATTTTGCGATTTACAATGCGAGATATATACGTCTGATAATGAAATCAGCTAGTAACGTCACCAACGTACACGCGACCGACGATAGCACGATTTCGCTTTTCGCTTTATCGACATTTAATTAATTCGCTCGTCCCCGTTTCGATCTTTGCACGTCATTCATTTAACTTCGATCGGCAATTATCTTAATTTTGCGATCGACTGATTCTCGCTCGAATAAAAAGTGGATGTGACAACTCGTTTCGGTGGGAATAATACAGGGAATACTAATTACGTAGCGATACTATTATTTTTTTTCTAACAGCACGGTACGGTATGCGATTGATCTTTTAATTAATTAATCAAATTCAAATTCAAGTAAATAAAATAATTTTATAGTAAGCCAGGGAGGAACTCTTGTAAACGTTGAATAAAATTTTTAAGTTATGTTTTTTATTTGATTTCTATGACTTTATATTTGACGTTTGATATTAACGTTACGAAGAAAGTCGTAAAATGCTATTTGTTAAACATTTTATGAGAAAAACACAAACTCAAAAATACATAAATTTTCTATGTTTAATATTCTTATGTTTTACGCAGAGCACAGATGATTAAATATAACTTTGACAACTTTCAGAGAATATTTATATTCGATTAAAGTCTAGAAACTATAAATGTGGTTAAATCCCAATTCGATTCTCTCGACAGCGACGACACTCAATAGCCATGATGCTAATATGAAAGAGAAAAATTTATAAAATGTATACCAAAGTTTTTTCTGAAGATGGTTTTCGGATTTGAACCGCGTTAGTGTCATTTTTATATCGACGGCTTTTATTTTATTTCAATTTATTTCATCAGACTTTAAAAACAATTTGATACTGAGTAAAACTGACATTAACGCAAAAACCACATCTTCAGAGATTTTCATATATAATACACCGCGCACAAGTATCGAATATCAAACGAAGATTTTTCAGTTGTAAATATATAATTCGATATTTATAATACTAAATTATGTCTCTGAGTTAAAGTAAATATGGATATAAAAAAGAATTATATGAAAATTTCTCCAACGATGTGTAACTTGTGAAGTTTACTCATGTACCAAAATGTTACAGCAAATCTGTTAATTTATAAATCTTCTGTGAAAGTGAGCAAAGTGTTAAATTGATATCTGCAAATATTGCACGAGAAAAAGCGTTTATTATTGAATCCGCGAGAGTGTTCGATATTACATTCATCAAGATATTGCACAGAGAAATGATTACTCGCTTATTAATACACCACATTAATATATTGCTGCTATCCCTCACTGCTGCGCTTTGTTATTACAGTTAATATACGTTATATAACGTAAATTTGATATTAAGTGATATTATTAAATAATGAAGAATTATGTCATATACATATATATATTAGCCTCTGTGTAATAAAAAATGTCGTGGAGTTTGAAAATAATGCTTAAAAAATTTATGACAATCTCTCGCATCAGTAATTGAGCAGATGAAAAAAAAAATATGCCGCGGACGCTAATGTCAAATTTATTTGTGCAACGTAGTTGTTTCCAAAGTTTCTCATACGACGGATGGTCTATCTCTTTCGATCATGTACTTTGTACACACGCCAGAAAATGAGTAAATTCGAGTTTGACTTAATGAGCGCGCGACGTCGATTACGAGGAGAACGCGAGATCGATTTTCTTTCTTTACAATGATAAAGTCAACAGAACAGATTAACCGCGCGCAGACAGTTCCGAGAATAATACCTACGCTTTTGAACTTCTGATCTGTTATACTGAAGTTACACCGAATTATCCAAAATCAGTCGAGTGTTTTCTTTAAATAGAAAGAAACATCTATTTTCGCAAAAAAAAATGTGCTATTCGCGCACGTTTAGCC